ATATATATATATATATATTATTATTGTTAGCTCTTGATGAGATACCTCCATCATTTGAAAACTCTGGCATCCTCAAGGAATAACTTCAAGGGGTTGCAAAAATGACTCTCATTCATGGCGCTATTTTGTTGTTTTTTATGATTCTTGAGGATAGCCAGAAGAGTGTACAAGCACAATGGACTTAAATGGTAGAAGAAAAAAAAAAATCAGCAACCTCAAACATGAACAGTAAATGTCTCTTTTTGCCATCTCAGAATCATTAGGCATTAGCTTCTTTCTAGACTCACTGTTTTGCATATACATTCCATTATATTGCACCAGTTCTCCACTGAATGTAGTGGCAATGGTCCAATAGACTAATATACCCACAACCTCCTGCACTAAGCTGAAGAGGTGTGATTCTTTTTTTCAATCTCTGCTGTTACTATGTGTAACAGCCTTTGTATGGCGTGAGATTCCACCATATATCCAGTAGTTCAGGTTTACTGGCTCACAGGCGCCCTCTCTCAGTGGTGGATGTAATGCCTTTTTCAGTGCCAAACCGGTCATACTGTATGCAGTATCATGAAATAGTGCAGTTAGCAAAAAGGCTAAAATAACCTGTATGACTGACCAGTAAATACAGTATGTTCTGTTTCTAGTAAAGCAGCCACTCTCTGGGAGTCGGTTTTGTTATTTAACATCACATCACAGTTCTGACATGATTTTGAAAATGCGTCTTTGTGTCCGAGTACCTGGTCTAGCAGCACAACCGACGACTTGATAATCTCCCTCCACTTCAGCAGCTCGGCATCATGGAAACGCTGCTGCGCCTCCAGGAGCTGGGCCCACTCCATCTGCGTCTGAGGCAGTTTACTGGGAAACACACATGCACACACACACACACACACACACATTAGCAACATCAGGGTGCAGCCACTCAAGCGTGACCTCCATTTGGAGGGACTTGCCAGAAAACAATTTGGTAAATTGTTTCAGTAGGCCCGGAGCTATTCAGGGGTAATTTTAGAAGCTCCGTGTTTTCCTGTCACACACGTCAACGGCCATATGGATTTACTTTAGTGTGTGTGTGTGTGTGTGTGTGTGTGTGTGTGTGTGTGTGTGCATGTCTGTAAATCTATGTGTTTAGTAGTGACTGCCTTTTGGGCAAACAGCCAAATAGACTACATTCAGTCTTATCTCTGCAGTGATAGATAACGTTTTCTTTGCATTCTAAAATGCCCAAACTATAAATCAACCAGATTTGATCTCTTTAATAAATTAGTTCTGTATTAATGACGGGTGCACTTTAGCTGTGTGTACACTAGTTTATGTGTACCTTTCATGAAGCCGCAGACCTTGCCAGGTTGTTAAGGATTGTGCGGAATACTCCAGCATCCACAGCTTGTAGAAGAGCATCATGTTGAGGAACACCAGCAGGACCAGGCTGAAGGAGGGCAAGAAGGAAGAGAAATGAGTCCTCCCCTTTGCATTGGGATTCATTCATGGTGCCTTTAGCTCGCCTGTACATGGCAATTACAATCTATGCTGGGAATACTTTTCAACATATTCATCTGGCTATGCTGGCTAATCACATTATGTACCTTAGACAGATCCTATGGATGGCAATGAGAGGAGAGGAGAGAGAGGTTACACTCAAGACACCAACAATGAGATATTAACAAGAAAACAAAAGTTTAACTGTAAATCAGACAAAAAAACGTACAGAGCTTACTGGATACAAAAAAAGAGATGAAATCATGAAACGTGACTCAGAGAGAACTCTCTGTTTTAACATATGTGAAATGAGCATGTGTTGAATGTATTTGCATCCCTGTGGCCAGACAAACAAGCATCCCAGGGATCGTGTGTGTGTGTGTGTGTGTGTGTGTGTGTGTGTGTGTGTGTGTGTTTTGAGATGAGTTGCGTACACAAAGCTGATGATGAGCAGCAATTTGGAGACGCTGTACAGAGCAAGGCCTCCTGGCAGGTGATGGTGTTCTGGACTCCGGTGTCTGGTTTGCGTGGAGCCGGCCACTTGTTTGATCCTCTGAATCACTTCCTCATCTGTCGGCGTGGTAACGGGGCTGAGCGCCTCGTCCAGATGCTGGCTGCGCATGTGGGGGAGTGGCCTCTTCTTCCGCCTCACCGTGGAGTTTTTCACCACCTTGGCCTTCGGAGACAGCTGGTGGGCCTCGGTCAGTAAGTCCTCCATCTTGGACAGCTCCAACTCTGAGAGGGAAAAAGACAGCGTGTTACACATTCATAGATGTTGAAAACATTTACAATACTACATCTTTGTGAAGTCTCCGTTTAGTTTGTTATCTTCATTCCTATCTTCTCTCTCTTTAATAATAGCTCAAAAATACTTCAAATATGTGATTCAAATTTCCACAAAAACACACAACAAAATATCAGAACAAACAAACAAACACTCAGGTTTACCTAGATGGCGGAAGTTCTCTTCTAGTCCGCTCCAGAAGTTTTTCTCTATGAAGCCTTTCACCAGCCCCCACGGCTGCTTCCTGTAGCGCAGCTCTGTCGATACCCTGAGAGGCAGACAGACACGCATTCACACACGTGGATAGACTCTTTCAATAAGGTATAAAACTGGAAACGTAAATATTAGATTGAGTAAAATCAAAAGGTTAAGCTGTTCACTAAGAATTGAACATAACGCGACGTCTCGTTCGAGCGTCCTACTCACCGTAACCGACATTTGTTCTTGGCCACCCTGGTGAGCATGTAGCGGTTGAGGGTGTAGAAGTAATCGTGGTAGGGCACGTCATGCGTGATGACCTCAGCGTCGATGATGTAACACTCACTTTCCTGGCTGGCTTTGTACAGAGTCTGATCAAAGAAAAGGAAACATGGTTTAATTGATTGTTATTCTGAAAGCTGTCTCAAACTCATGTATGAAAACTAAGCAACGTTTCTGCGATGCAAGGGTTGACCGTACCTGTGTCTCTGTGACTGTGGCCGTTTTGGGGGCCAGCGGGTTGGACAGCGAGATGGTGTACATGATCTCTCTCGTCTGGTTCCCAGCCTCCTCTTTCTTCCACGGGTGGTACACCACATCTAAACAGCAACGCGATGAGAGGGTAAATTAGCGATGCCTGCAGCGACCACCTTTTTTGGGTCTGCCTTTACTCCAGAGAGATCAGGGGTCGGGTGTAGAAGCATCGGAAACACTCACCTGAGAATCGCCTCTGTTCCATGAAGTCACTCATGAACTCCGACTCTGTGAAGAGGATCCCGTAGAGCTTGTCCACACTCAACTTGTAGATCTCATTGATGTGCTGCCTGCCATTCAGATCCTCATGAAAGGCCTGCACTTCACCTGTGTGTCCAAGATGAGATGGCAAATCAATTCAGAGGTGTCTTCACAAGTCTGTTTTCAAATCGTGTTACTAGCGTCATCATACTGTTATGAGAGGGGAAATCAGTAAAGAGTTTCCACTAGATTATGCAGTCATGTCTGTTCTGTGCAGTTACCCTCGTCGTGTGTTTCCGAGGAGTCACTGAGCTCAGTCGGGATGTCTTCGTTGTCATTGAAGTCCAGAGACGGTGAGGGGACAGGACCACCAGGCCCGCTGGTATCAATGTTCCTCTCTTCCACCAAAAGGGGCAGCGCAAGCAGCTCGCTGACCGGTAGGCAGTCTGCATACTCTTCTGCTGGGAGGTCAAACTGGAGAAAAGAAGAACGTGAGCATCAATCACATCAATAATGTTTCCCTGTAAAGGAAATGTCCTGTAGTTCTTCTGACCCATATAGGTGTTGCAGTCCATTCAACATGTATTAATGGATATATGTGTGTGTGTGTGTGTGTGTGTGTGTGTGTGTATGTGTGTAACTTACAGTGATGGGTGCGTCATGGTTGCCTGGGCTGGGCATGGTGCTGTTTGGAACCATCTTCTTATGCAGCGGAGGAGGGCTCCCCTCAGGCTTGGCGTCAGCGCTGCTCTTAGACAAGTTGTCATTGTTGATCTCATTCTCTTCGTTGGGAATCTCTTCACTGAACCTGAAGGTGACCAGAGACCAGCGAAAGGCGGGAACTTTGCTCAGTTATACTCATCTCATCTCACACTGTGAATGAGGTTCTTGTAAAACCTGTGTTAAGCAGGGTTTGGCTAACTTGTGGTAAAAACACAGTTGATATTAGGATGTTTGGACACACTTTTTTAACTAGTCTATACGTGTGAAGAACAAGTACAAATGATCTACACTTCCCTTTACTAATAGCTATGTCGACTTTTCTCTCTCGTTAACAAAGTCACAATCCCTTCAGGGCTATCTCCTTTGAAGCAAATCTTTCCTCACACTGAGTTCAGCCGGGTTCTGTCCAATCGCTCAGCTCACATACAGAGCCCACGTTTCCTCAAAGGCGAGTTGACGGTAAAACTTCAGACACTGTGAGTGCACTGTGTATACCAAATAGAGTCAAACCACGGCTCTCTGTTTATTTCACCTCGTGAACTCACTTTAGACATGAAGGGAAAACTGAAATGACGCAAGAGACGGAGCAGGGAAGGATCTTTAAAGCCTTCAGAAGAATGCAGTGTTTGATGTGCAGCTTTAACGTTAAAATAAAATGCTGTAAATTAGCAGAGAAGCTGAGAAGGATGTTAAATGTGTTTCTCAGTTGAGAGAGAGCTGGAGAGAGAGTGTGCATGCTTCTACGCAACTGTTGCTTCTTACAGCTCGTATTGGGCTCTCTTAACTCATTTGTAATTTAGGGCAATTAGGTACTCGACTGGAAGGTGTTTGTAATGTAGTAACCACGGTAACTGATGATGCAGCATCAATAGACTCACCCCATGGTGTTGAAGTCATCATCAGGGGGAACATAGTCCTCATCATCGCTCGTTAGGCCCAGCTCGTTGCCATAGCACTGATGAACAAAGTGCCACAGTTCTTTGGGGCACAGGGGCTGCAAGAGGCAACAACATATATCAGTGAGAAGAAGAAAAGTTATGAACATTGACTCTCTCCAATGTGAACAGAATCACAAACTAACAGATCTGATTTTTGCTCACCTTGTCCAGCAGCGCATTCTGCCACAGTCTGAACATCATCATGTAAGTCCTGTCCCTGGCTCCAAAGGAGCTGAAAAAGTGCTGTGAAACATATATTGTAATTATGTACGAGTGTGGTGAGCACGTGAATGGAATAACCCGTCTATTCCAGATTACTTTAATTCGTGGCAACGGTGTCGTGCATTAATATCGCGCCATCTGTTCTCCAGTATCCGCTGTTAACAGCCAAACTTTGTACCTCAAGGCTTCCCGACTGTCTCTTCAGATGATTACACTTAAAACATCATCGTTCTGTATTGTTTACCTTCTCGGTGTCCGTGCAGACCTGGATGGCATTGGGAATGAGGCGGGCAGTCTTCTCTTTTGTCATTGAGCAGATGTCCTTTAGCCGCACTGTCAGCTACACACACACACACACACACACACACACACACACACACACGGAAAAATGCACACAATTAGACATTCACACAGACACATTATAGTTCCAGGTGTGACCCAATACTGCCAGTATAAGAAGCATGGGAATGCACAGAGGTCCTGAGCGTTAACCGGCATACCAGCGTTTCCCAGCGGAAGATGTTGCTGTAGAAACAGATCCAGTTCTCGGAGAGGTAGAGTCGTCCCTGCAGGAGGATGTCCCGTTGAAGAGCACAGGAGTAGTCTGGAGCACAAAGACGCCACATGATCAGAAATTAATAAATAAAAGATACCACCACACTCTTACGTTTGATACAAAATGACATCAGAGAAACTACGCCACTAAGGCAGAAAATTGCTCAATAATAGATCAGATATTAGAACATGCTGATGTCCAATCAGATTAATTAGATCACAGTCACAAGGAAACCTCACTGCAGAGCATTTCAGCATTCCCCTTGTTTGTATATCTTGTTTATTAGCTGTGAAATCATCACGACCAACTCATGAAGCTCAACTCATGAACCATGAGCTCACTTTTACCCTAGAGTTGTATTATTCAAGGAATTTCAGACAATCACTGTATTCATTAGAGAGTTGGGAAAATCATGCAAGAGCTCATCAACAACACTTGTGATACTATTATTGTTGATGGCAGAGCAGCTTCGACCGCTGGAAAAGTTCATTACCAGATTAGAAGTTCCTCTAAAATAAGTAGAGGATGTGTTCAACATTTGGAATGGCCAAGTTGTTGTTTGTGTCTCCCCCTCCATCATTTTCTGATGACTAATAACTTAGTTGCATCCTAAGACAAGCGTCAACTTACCCACAATGAGTCTCTCTGTGTCAGGGAGCTGCTTGAAGAGTTTCCTAAAGTCCTCATTGCGCTGCTTGTATGTTGGGCTCAGCACCTGCAGTGACAGGCGGAGTCAGAAAAATAACCACCATACAAGCACGTATGCTTCTAAAACTCAAACACTCTTCATGCTCTCTGACTCTCGCTCACTCACAAGAGTAGTCTTCATCGCACAGACGCAGCCCCCCCCCCCACAAGTTAATCGTTTCCGTGAGCATGTGAGATGGCCTCGTAAAACCACCCACAGGTTTGATCGGGATGTCTGGTTTACTCTCTTCACACCATGGATTTCACTCTGTGGGTGGCTTTGATAGGCTCTGGAAATGGATGTGTAGTGAATGGCAAGCACAGGTATGTGGCCTGAACGGGCATCTTGCCGATACTCAATAACAAAAGCGCAATTCCAAAACATCAGCCCGCTGCAGATCATTCAATACACATGCTGCCACGACTATGAGCGTTTGCAATATGAGTCACATTCTCAGAATTGCATTATTGTGTCTGACAATGAGGCTTTTGTCGAATGACAAGGGGACAAGTGATGAAACCTCAAACTAAACTGTGCACAGCGGTTTGAATAACCTGGTCAGCACTGGGAAAAAAACCTCCTATTCAACATGATCACGCTTTTCTTAGCTTGGCTTCGGCCGACTTGATTGTTTTCAGAGAGAGCCTGTGATGAATAAAATCTCCAAATGTGTGCCAAACTGAGGGCTCTCTGTCTCCGTCTGTGCCAGATGCTTTCCTTCAACAGGAAAGCAGGAAACAATAGCTGCCAATATGGTAACAAGATGTATGCCGAGACAAAAGATAAACTCTCCTCTCTCTCTTTGAAAAAGAACATCTTGTTCACATTAAAAATCCAGACATGTGCCTTTCTTGCAAACCAAAGCATTTGAAATACTGAAACACTGTGAGCATCGGTTTCTACTTCAATTCGCCTTTGAGAAAAGTGTGGTGATGAGAAACACTCTGTAAACGTGTGAGGGACGTCTCTGAAAAACGCTTAATAGTTGATTGGAATGTAACTTAACTGTCTAAACGTAAACAACATCATGTTGATGTTTTATAAAACCGTCATCCGTGACCAAAAACAGCCAAACCACACCTACGCTGTTCACACATCAGGTCACACACGCAGTAACCTTGATGAACACTGCAAACAACAGGCCTCTATGAGCTCTGGGAGAATTCTAATAGCTATGAGTCATAACCAAACCAGTTGTTGTCTTTAGTAGTAAGGAAATACCGCAGAATGCTTACAGTAGCATACAATAAAAAGTGCTACAAAGCCTTATAACTGGCCCCTCACTTGTGACTTTACGTTGCCCAGAAAGAGCTCAATAAGTCTGTCGGTCAAATGCCAACATTTTTTTGAACTTTTCCACATCATTTTCTTCACTCATCTCCTTGTGGTTTTTCAGCTTCGGGCGGAGGTCAACTTACAGCAGGGATCTCCTCAGTGTCCCACTCAGGGTCCTGGAGGTCGGAGGCAGCCCAGCCCCACTCCCAACCCCACTCCCCTCTTGCTGGACCCTGCAGGAGCCACCCTGGCAACACCTCATCCAGCTCCAGCACGGCCTCCCAGTCTGACATCGTACAATCCTCATCCAATTCCATATTCACCGCCCCAGATCCGGTTTGGCGCCTGGATGGCAGCGTATTTTCCAAAACGGGGGCCCCAGTGGGCTCTTCTGACGTCGGAGGACTTGTCACTTGCAGTGGGCTTGGAAAATAAGAGCAGACAGAGCTCGAGATTCCAGGCGTTAGTTAGCAAGCTGCAGTATCCGCCCCCTGTTTTGGGTGCTGCTCCCTTTCAGTGTTGAGCGGTGGACACGGCACACTCCAGCCACATGATCCTTGTCTCTCTCTGTCGTTCTCTGGCTCTCTCTCTCTCTCTCTTCCTTTCACACACAGGGAGAGGAGTTACGGCCGTTGCCCTCTAGTAACCCCGGCCAACAAGTCTTTTATTATCATGCCAGTAGCTTTTTCCTTTTTTCCAGCTTACTCCTCCTGGTAAGTGTGTGAGCAGAGTGTGTGTGTACGGTGTGCTTTCCAGGTCTGAGTACCTTGTAATTACAGTTTTACGACCAGAAAAGAATGAAGCGACTTTGTTTGTATTAGCCCTCCTCTCCACCAAAGCAAAGATGTAGCTGGGAAGAAAGACGCTAAAAGGAAAGAAAACAGGACTGAATAAAAGAGAGAAATGAACGCTTCCAGTTGCTGAAGTATGCGTTGGGTCCGTCTTGCTGTCCGTCCAAGTGATTAAGTTACAGAGAACAGATGTGAGCATAACCTCCAGTTACCTCCGTCTGCAAAATAACACCATCAATCTTGACAGGGTCTGCACTGGTTTGTAGTCCAGAGCTCACATCGCAGGGTGAAGTGGCCTGACCGACGTACTTGTAAATATTTCTTTGTTTATACGTTTCATGTTAGGGTTAGGGTTATTTCATGATAGAATAGCTGCTGGAAACCAAACTAAAAGGGTATAAAAAGAACAGCTCGGTGCTGTTTTGATGGTATGAGGCGTCCCCCTCCTTTCTCCCCGCCTTGGTATTGGGGTCATTCATGTGCTTCTGATACTTGATCACCCTCTGTTACTCTTAGCAGGCACAAAAGATGCAGAGCTTGCAGTTCTTATTTTAGCAGCTCTTAAAAAACAATTGGTGTGCATGTCCTCCCACTATTCTTAACTAAACATATTTCAAGGGTCAAGAAGGTGGGAATTGTGATAGAGGTCCCAGCAGCAATAAATAAAAAAATAGATGTTACTCCAGCTTTTATTTCATTGACTTCTGCTGGATGAAGTCAATGTGTAGCCCACATATGAGCCGCTGGAATTCAGCCACGACTTCCCCCTTTCTTCTGCAGTTTATTTCCCAGGCCTCACTTTAACCAGTCACTGAGGAGATGCAGGAAAAATAATCTTCAGCAGTGGGCCTCTTGGAAAACAGTGCTGGTCATTCACGTGCAGCTCTTTAAAAAAACAGAAAGAAACCGCCTTCCCCCGGTTGAGAATGCCTTTACATCATGTGGATGACATTTCAGCAAAATAAGGGTGCATTACTTGTGCCGTCCGTGCTGATAGAAGTCCTCTATTTCCTGCTCACTCCGTTCATTTTCTCCAATAAATCAAGCAAAGAAAGAGGCCATTGTGACCGATGCAGCCGTCAGTGTTTAGGTGACGGCGTGAGGCTTGGGATGAGGTGGGACTGCAGATACGCAGTGTTTATGGATTCGGTTAACTATTAACAGTGTACAAACATTAGGAGATGGAAGAGACTGGCACTGTACAGCAGGGTGGGGTTTTAGTGCTGTGAGGGGGATGGGGGCTCGAGGTGAGTGAGTCTATCCTGTTAATAACACTCCCGTCCTATTAATGCGGTGGTTTTTCATTTGAAAGGCAAGGTACGTGGGCGTGTATCGATCTGAGTGAAGCAATGTGAAAGGCCTGACGTACCAATTCAATTCACTCACTGTCTAAAGCTCTAATCCCACAGTGCCACTGTTTGTCAAGTGTTTTCCCTCTTATTGCTAACTTCCTGTGGGTACGGTTGCCACAGCAAGCATTGCGACAAACTCGTGTAGATGCAAAGCGAATGAACAGGCGCTATCAGAGGGCTGTGGGAGAAAGATGGCCACTGTGCGTATCTCTAACAGGCTCAGATCTCACATCAGGACGGATGGGTTTTTGTAATCACTGTGGTTTCAGTGCCATGGGAGGTCATCATTGCCAAGTAGAGGTGCACACATACACACATGCACACGCCGTCCTACATGCAGGTGCATGATGGGTACAACACCCACACATAGTCTCAGCCAACTGATTTAAAAGGTACCGATAGGACACTCTATTGATTGAGCTTCAGTATTTATTGTGTGAGTAAGGATGCGTGTACGAGATGTCAGGAACGCAGCTACTGAGATTCACCACCGTGAATACATTGTGATGGTAAATTCACACTGCAAACTTCACACAGCAAAAATAATCACATCCGTCTGTACAAGACATAAGTCTTATGTTCAGCTTTTAGAGTGAAGTACTCTAAAGCTGACATGCTAGTTGGTATTTTTTCACTTGTTTTAAAGGTTAAGACTGGTGGTCATTTTTTCTTACTGTCAAGAACTCCCATTGAAAGACCAAAACCAATGATGCCTTGGTCCGTCTCTTAATCTTTCATCACACTCTATTAATGGAACCCAGCCATAAGCCCACTGGCTCCAACTGAAGACATTCATCTTTAGTACGCCACACATTCACTTTTATAAAGGATAAGTATTTTTCTAAAACAGCTGGGCACTGTAGTTCCGAGCAAATATTACTCTAAAAGATGCAAACAGTGTATTTGTTGGGGACTATTTTCAGCTGCGGATTAATACACAGGCTGCACTCCTGAGCATTTCCGGGAGCAGGTGGGGTATGTGGGATTGAGTCAAGATAAACTGCTGTGCCCATGCTCATGGTAATGAGGGTAATGTCTCACGGGGCAACAGTATGGCTCACTAGTTTTTTGGACACCATCAGAGATCCATGTCATGGAGGAATAAACTATTTCAGGTGTTTTACTACACACACAATACTTGTTAGCATGATGAACTCATTTCTGGTTTTGGTCTTTTCATGGGACTTATTGAACAAACATATGATATCACCAGATTTATCCGAGAAAAAATATATTTTGGGACTTAATGGTAGGCGATGTCAGTTGGGGGTATACAAAAGGGGGATTTGCAGTCTATTTTGATGACAAGAGCAGGTGGTCCTGGTACCTTGTACACTTGATGTATACTGTGCCGATTGCCAGCTGACAGCAAATATTTGCATCCGTTAGTCAGAGCAACGTCAACTCTAGCTTGTTACTTGTGATGCTCCTTTCTAGGTAGCGGGTCAGTAGGGGAAATGTGAGTGGCTCAAATTAGCTGGGTGCATTAGAGAAGTTCTTAAAGTGTCTGGACTCTTTTCATCTCAACAGCAGTTCTCCATTTTCCTTATCTGCAGGAAGGTCCCTGCATCTTCTGTTGATTGTCAAACCCGAGCCTAAATGTCCCCTGGTGTCCACGGTTATTTTTTTTTAGGACATGGACACAGAAACAGGAGTCGGGCAGGAGGGAAACATGCCACGACTTATAGCACCATGCTCCATTCCCCTGTTGCTCAAAGGCATTCAAAGCTCGTCCAGAGGCCCTTGTGACGGTTTGTTGATTCGTTTAGTACAGTGAGAAACTCAGTGGGCTTGTTACCACCTGTTGCGTACCAGAATTAGAAGTTTGAGTGGTGAAAGGCCTTTGATCACCATCTAAGGGATTGGTGAAACACAAATCCAGAACACATATTGTCAATGCAAATTTAGTGAGTAAGACCACTAGAAAAGAATCACTCTGTAATTGAAGTGCTTTAGTTGGACAATTATTTAATACGCGTCTATTTCAACATGTCAAATCACCTCCTCCGAGGTGTGGCTTTGCTATTAGGTGGTAACAACACTGATTGAAGTCAATGGAATGAGAGACAGGCAGGAGGGATGTCATCATTCCAGCGGTCTGACAACCAAGATACAGAGCGCGAGAGAAAGAAAGTTATTGAGGGTTGCACAAGAATACAAGTCATGCTTACTCTCAAGATGTGTTGTCTTTCATGCTGGGGAGAAAGGGGAAGAGTGTACACACAGGGAATAAATAAAAAAATAAAGCTAAGAAATAAATAAAACAACATAAAATGGGATAAAAGTCCAATAAACACACTTCAGGAGAAAGTGGGGTTTGACACTGAGTGGTGTTAAAGCCCAACACTCTCGTTCTTGCTCCCTCTGTGGGCTTAACTAACACAACAGGCAGCTTTTCAATGTAAAAGTTAGTTGAACATAATCATTAAGGGGTTGTTCAGCAACTCACCACATGGAAAAACAACTATGGAGCCAGAAATAGAGTGAGCACGCCATCTTGTGGTGCAAAATAAAACCGCAGCACCCTGGCTTTGTTGTCTATAAAGAAACTTTGGTAAAACTATGCTGTAGTCTTCACATTCCCTTGAGTCCCTGCATCAGAAAGAGCCACCTGTTGCTCTTTTAAGCCCATGCTATGAATCGTCGCCTGGAGGACCAGCAACCCACACTAATGATCTGGTGCTCCAGTAAACAAGGTCAAGGACGACAACTTTCATGTCGTAAGCAGCACCTGCCACTGAAAACTCAGTCATCAGCATGACGTGAACTCACACCAGCACACATATACACCCATAAAAGACTTCACATATGTTGATAATGTAAATAAAAACAAGGTCTGACTTACGTTGTACCAGCTTTGGCTCTTCTGTGGAGAGAAAGAAAGAGAAAGAGAGAGAGAGAGAGAGAGAGAGAGAGAGAGAGAGAGAGAGAGAGAG